GTTATGTAAAGAATTAATGCCAATGATACATCGATACCATCTCCCTGAAAGTAAGTTTCTAAATAAAGAAGGTCAATCGTCTATTTGACTTATTTTAAGAAAGATATACCGTATTCATTTTTATCAAATCCGGGGGGGGGGGGGCGAAACATTGTTTCGGAGAAAAACGAGAGAAGTGAGAGTTAACTAAGTTGTACATCCGTGTCTTTTAAGCGACCTCTAGCCTACATAACTTTCCTTACATCTTAAAACAAGTTTGAGTCAACTACACGGCTAAAATAGTTGATTCTGTATGATAGAAAGTAAGACCGCATTCAATGGACTTCTCTTGTGGCCAACAAAAATAACCTATCAGCAAAAAATTAACCCATGGTGTGAGGCGAGATGATGTTACATTGATTAGGCTGCCATCAAGATGTACGTACTACATGCCAAAGCAAAGTGACCCTCAAGGCAGTCATGTAGAAGCAAAAAAGAAAGGAAGTACGACAGTCTTGTTTCTCGTTTGTTTTTGTTTTTTTTATTATCACCAGACACAATATGTTTTTAAAAAAAATCAGAAATGGGTGTTTAATATAGGGTTTTCGCAATTTTAAAAAAGGGTTTGTTGTTGTTGTTGACGTTGTCATCGTCATCGTCGTTGTGGTTGTTGTTGTTGTTGTTGTTGTTCTTGCCATCATTGTTGTTGTTGTTGTTGTTGTCGTTGTTTTAGTTGTTGTTGTTGTTGCTTTTGTTTAACAAGACGTTTCCATACCAGCCACTAGGCTTGTTTCGTCGTATTGGAAAGAGACGGGAAACCAGATGTACCTTCTCATAATCTGACGATGTTGGAAAGGGCATGAGACCAATAAATTCTCCATCAGACAGCACTATTTTCGCTGAATCAGTTCTTGAGACCTACAAACTGTAGTGCTAAACAGTTGAGAAACCCCGGCCAAGGACTTCGAAAAATGTTCTTCACCATGCCAATATTGTGTCTGTACGAAGCGAAGAACTGAGGCACGAATCTCGCACTAATGTCTTTTTTTAAGGATTTAAAAAAAATAGTTTTAAAAGTGTTTTTAGGGCGCTCACAACTGCAAAATGATGTCACATGAGCGCCAAGGATGTCAACAGAGAAGTCCCTATAGGGAATCAGGCTTACTCTGCTCACCTCACTAATATCTACTACATTGTTTCTTTTTTACACTTAAAAGAAAAATATAAGCAAAAACAAAACAAATGCCGGGATGAAAATGTTGTAGATGCGAAAGTGGGTCAAAGTGACTGCGACTGACTGCTAAAGAGTATAGATTCCTTAACATGACAATCTGTCTGCGAGTCATCGAAAATGGACAGACAAATTAACTAGGCAAATCTATCTGTGTATCTTTCTGTCTGTCAGTCTGTTTTGTCTGTCTGTCTGTCTGTCTGTCTATCTATCTGCCTGTCTGTCTGTTTGTTTGTCTATGTCTCTGGCTGTCTCCGCCTCTATCTTTTGTCTCTCTGTCTCTGTCTCTCTATCTATCTGTCTGTCGGTCTCTGTTTCCACCTCTGTATTTCTGTCTCTGTCTTTCTGTCTCAGTCTCAGTCTCTCTCTCTCTCTCTC